AACTACCTGCCCTCTAGTGCCTGACACATACTTTTTACAATAAATGATACATAAATGTGTTTGAGGAGCACTGGTCATGAGAAACTGAAGATCAGGATGCAAAGGCATTCTTCTGCATTTGCCAAATCACAGCTTTTCCCAAAGGACATATCTGTAACAGTTCCCTTAAAAAGCTCTCTAGCTTTCCCTAACCTGGGGAAGATTAAAGAGTACTTCAAATCCCCCCTTAAAGCATTTTGTAATTTAATAATATTCCCAACTCGGATTTCACATAATGTGGGCAATATTACCATTACAGTTTAAATTCCAAGGTATCTTTTTAATATACCATAATAGCTAGCATCATACATGAATATATTGACATTCTGGTCTGTGCATGGTTAATGTGAAATTGTCCCAAAGGAGTGACACACTCTCAGTTTACAGATAAAATTGTCTAGGACCACACAACTAAAGTCAAATTCCTATGAATGTTATGAATTTACCAGTATAAATGGCAGTCTTCTGTGGCATCCTACTGTTATTTTGTTACTGTTTTCAAATTTGAAATAATACATCCATTCACATACATTAATAGTCACTAAATGTCTACAAGTTGTCAGGCTCTGTACCAGGCAAGGAGCAAGCATTAGACTTCTGCCCTCACTGAGCTTAGAGAGTAGTAGGGGAAACAGAAATATACTGGTGCCAACACCAAAACGTGTTAAATGCTACTGGCAGATTCTGTGGGAAAGTAAAAGAGGAATACAGAATCATTAACCCAACCCAACCTGAAAGGGTCACTCAGGCCAAGTGTTAAAGAACACAGAGGAAAGAGCCCCATGAAAATAGAAGGCAAAGAGAAAGGGTCTTCTAGGTCAGACGACCGACACTTGAGGTCAGGGCAGAGATGTTTAAGAAAAAAAGAAGCTGAAATACAAGACAGAAGATCAAAAAGGGCAATGTGCACAATCCTGAAGAGTTACAAAAGCTAGAATTTTATGCAGGGGTGTGACAGGAGTAGATGTGCACATTGGCAGGATCACTCTGGTGGTTAATATGCAGAACTCAAAGGGGCGTGGAGGGTTGGAGACAACCTGGAGGCAGGAATACCCTTAAGGAAACTCCACTAGTAATCTAGGCAAGCAATGATGCAGACCCAAGCTACGGGCACTACTAGCCTGAGGTTAGGGCAATGGTTCTCAACAGAGCTGATTTCGCAGTTTGGGTTGTCAAAACTGGGGAGGAACTACTGGAATCTAGTGGGCAGAGGCCAAGAAAGCTGCTCCCCATCCTACAGTGTACAGGACACCCCTCTCCACAACCCCTCAGCATGATCCTGCCCCAAATGTCAACAGTGCCATGGTGGAGAAACCCTGGGATAGAAGGAGACTCATCAAGAGCTACTGAGAAGCTTTAAGAGATACAACCTGGAGATGGAGTATAGATGGTGAGGAAGAAGAGGGATAAAGGAGTACTTCACCCCTCTGGTTTTCTGCTTGGGGGAATGTGAGCAGGTGATGGAACAGAAAAGGCATGGGGGAAAGAGGCATGGGAATCCTTTTCTTGAGACATGTGGATTTTGAATTATCTGTGGTACATCCAAGTTGGACATAGTGGTTTGGAGCGTAAGAGAGATATTTGGACCAGAGATAGATCGGGGATTAGAAGAAGAAGAGAAGCCATGAGAATGGGTAGGAGTACCTGGAGTAAAAAGTGAAAAACAATGAATAGATACACGGAGCACACCAATATTTAAGGTAAAACTGACTGAGAGACTATTCTTTAAATGCTTTAACTTGTACACACAAAGGATTTTATTTGTAAAGTATGAACCTTCCAATCCTCAGAATTGTTTTGAAATTCTGTGGTAAGAATGGAAGCTCTCCTAGACGATCCCCTGCTAACCCATGTGCCCATTACTCCTGGTGCTCATGACAAGGCACAGCTCACACCCCAGCACTCTCCTCTCATCAAACAGTATGCTCACCAAGGGCCAACTTTATCTGTTCCAGGCAGTTAAGGCTATCACATTAACTTCTAAAAATATTAATAAACCAATAAAATAGATGTTCAAAAAGTTATTTCTATGAAGGCTATGTTGAATCCTTTGGAAATACACAAAATCTTACCATATTAATCCAGTAACTGGGGTCAAAAATATTAATCACATAAATACACAATCACGTTAATGGTAAGTTATACATTGATCCAGTAGAGCCTAGAAAGCTAACTAGTTAAGCATTTAAGGGGTTGGATCTGGGTTGTAAGCCTGTCTCTACCATACATTAAGTTCCAGGATCTTTCTGCTAGCACTTAACTGAAGACTGTTTCTTCAATTATAAAACAGTAGTAATGCCACTTCAACATAATTGTTTTTTTTTAATTGATGTATAGTTCACATTATATTAGTTTTAGGTTTATAACATAGTGATTCAAAATTTATATGCATTACAAAATGCTTGACTGTAAAAGTACTAAGCATTTATATTCTAGCTTTAATGTCTTTTTAACATGGGTTATGCATCTAGCTAAAAAAGACAAATATATTTACCTTGATATTATCATTATTCTCCCTTTATTTTAAAGAAAGAGGATAAAACTATTTCCTGTAGACTCTGGATAGGAAGGAGCATGTTATACTCATCACCTAGCAGAAGGATGCAGTAGAAAGGTTTTTTTGCATAAATGAAATTATATTCCTATTCTTTCTTAAACTCAAGGGAGTCATGAAAGTTTTCACACCTAGTCTTTTCCCAGTGTGTATATATACTGGGGAGGCAGTTTCCACGGGCGAAGTAAGTGCTTTCCCTCAAATGTTTCATTATAGAAAGAAAAAAAACCAACACTTTCTTCTTGACAGAGACTGCTGTCTTGATGGAGTATTGGGTGGGGAAGATGAGGGAATGATTACCATCAGATTAATAATTAGTACTGTTTGAAATTATGACTGCTAGGAGACTGACCTACTATGAATATACAACTTTTGGGGCTCCCACTGCTTTTGCAGAAACTAGTAGCTAGGACTGGAGGACTGGGATACAGTCTAAAGGAAACTGTACAACATAATTATAACTCTCAAGAATGTGTGGTACTATGAAGTCACCAAATGTAGAACAGCTATAAGTACTCAGATTAATATGTAAGATTCTAATAAATACCTAGGAACTTACCTAGATTTATCCATATTCCACCTGGTTTGAGTATTTTCCATATTGTATCAATATAGTCTATTACATTGTGAGCTGTGTCTATGAAGAAACAGGTAGCAATACAGTCCCAGGTATCTATTCAAAGAAAATAAAATTACTACATTTGTAATGCTATTTTGCCTTTTCTTTTAATGAATTCTCTAAATGTACCAGTTCTTATAGAATATACTACTTCATTTAACTGCAGGGATACAGAAGCTAAACTCTCTCAATCAACACTATAATTAAGGCAACCAAATAATTACTTATGAGATACTTTGTAATTCACAGAAGTTTTTAATAATGATCTGATAATCAACTTGGAGATAATTTTTGATAGCCTGTACCACTAGATATCTTTACCTAAAGATATTTTTAAGAGATTTGTTTATCATCTATTTCCTGTCTAGCCTTCATTTACAATCAGTTAACATGGAATGACAGTCATTTAAATTTTAAATTGTTATTAGGTTTCAGAAAACCTGCATGTATTTGTTGCCAAATGAGAAACAAATGGCATCAAAATACTCAAACACCCACCAGTACTTTGGATGGTCACCTGTGTACAGGCAGGGACACAAGAGAGTAGCAGTGGGTGGGAAGCCAGCAGAGAACACTGCTTCTGGGAGGCTGTGGCCTGGCATGGGGATAGACTGTTCTGAAGGTAGGCATCGATACAAATGCTGATGGATAAAGGCACTTGATCCAATCAATCAAGGATTACCTTCACCAATCTGCTCTCTCCAACTCTGCTCGGATACTAAGTGATATTTTCCATTATTTCACTTCTGTTTTTTGAGACCTTAACTCCCTAACTTATCCCCACATCTTTCTACTTTCAGAGGACAAGTTTTCCCAATGTCAGAGTTCAGGGAAAAAATAAAAAATCTGACTATCTTCTTACTCCCCTGCTCCAATCTTCCAGTGGCTTCCCGTATCCCTCAGTACAATTCAAAGTCCTTGCTATGGCCTGCAGTTTGCTTCACCAAACCCTCTCCAACCTCATCTCCCACCACTGTGCCAATGTTCACTACACCCCAACCAAAATGACCCTCTTGCTCTTCCTTGAGCAAAACAAGCACTCTACCCACTCCCTAATCTGCCTTCCTTCCCCATTCCTTTATCTGCAACATTTCCCCCCAGATATATGAATGGCTTACCTCTCCATTTTTTTGAGGTTTTCTGTTCAACACTTCTTTAAGTTCTGCCTTGGGAAAGGACTTCCCTGATAACTCTGTATTAACAGATAACAGCAACCACTCCCCAGTCACTCTACAAGTCCTTTACCCTGCCTTATTTTTCTTCCTCACAATATTAACTTCTTCTTGCCTCTCTCTCTACTAGAATGTGAGTTTCCTGTGTATAGGGACTTTGTTTTTGTTCACTGTTCTCTTTCCAATACCTAGAATATACCTGGAACTTAGCAGGTGCTCAGTATCTGCTGAATGATCTTGCTGACCCCTCATCTTTCTATATTTTTTTCCTTCTTCCTTGTACTACCTAATCTACTCCCTAAACACACACACACACACACACACACACTTGGGTGGGGAAGATGAGGGAATGATTACCATCAGATTAATAATTAGTACTGTTTGAAATTATGACTGCTAGGAGACTGACCTACTATGAATATACAACTTTTGGGGCTCCCACTGCTTTTGCAGAAACTAGTAGCTAGGACTGGAGGACTGGGATACAGTCTAAAGGAAACTGTACAACATAATTATAACTCTCAAGAATGTGTGGTACTATGAAGTCACCAAATGTAGAACAGCTATAAGTACTCAGATTAATATGTAAGATTCTAATAAATACCTAGGAACTTACCTAGATTTATCCATATTCCACCTGGTTTGAGTATTTTCCATATTGTATCAATATAGTCTATTACATTGTGAGCTGTGTCTATGAAGAAACAGGTAGCAATACAGTCCCAGGTATCTATTCAAAGAAAATAAAATTACTACATTTGTAATGCTATTTTGCCTTTTCTTTTAATGAATTCTCTAAATGTACCAGTTCTTATAGAATATACTACTTCATTTAACTGCAGGGATACAGAAGCTAAACTCTCTCAATCAACACTATAATTAAGGCAACCAAATAATTACTTATGAGATACTTTGTAATTCACAGAAGTTTTTAATAATGATCTGATAATCAACTTGGAGATAATTTTTGATAGCCTGTACCACTAGATATCTTTACCTAAAGATATTTTTAAGAGATTTGTTTATCATCTATTTCCTGTCTAGCCTTCATTTACAATCAGTTAACATGGAATGACAGTCATTTAAATTTTAAATTGTTATTAGGTTTCAGAAAACCTGCATGTATTTGTTGCCAAATGAGAAACAAATGGCATCAAAATACTCAAACACCCACCAGTACTTTGGATGGTCACCTGTGTACAGGCAGGGACACAAGAGAGTAGCAGTGGGTGGGAAGCCAGCAGAGAACACTGCTTCTGGGAGGCTGTGGCCTGGCATGGGGATAGACTGTTCTGAAGGTAGGCATCGATACAAATGCTGATGGATAAAGGCACTTGATCCAATCAATCAAGGATTACCTTCACCAATCTGCTCTCTCCAACTCTGCTCGGATACTAAGTGATATTTTCCATTATTTCACTTCTGTTTTTTGAGACCTTAACTCCCTAACTTATCCCCACATCTTTCTACTTTCAGAGGACAAGTTTTCCCAATGTCAGAGTTCAGGGAAAAAATAAAAAATCTGACTATCTTCTTACTCCCCTGCTCCAATCTTCCAGTGGCTTCCCGTATCCCTCAGTACAATTCAAAGTCCTTGCTATGGCCTGCAGTTTGCTTCACCAAACCCTCTCCAACCTCATCTCCCACCACTGTGCCAATGTTCACTACACCCCAACCAAAATGACCCTCTTGCTCTTCCTTGAGCAAAACAAGCACTCTACCCACTCCCTAATCTGCCTTCCTTCCCCATTCCTTTATCTGCAACATTTCCCCCCAGATATATGAATGGCTTACCTCTCCATTTTTTTGAGGTTTTCTGTTCAACACTTCTTTAAGTTCTGCCTTGGGAAAGGACTTCCCTGATAACTCTGTATTAACAGATAACAGCAACCACTCCCCAGTCACTCTACAAGTCCTTTACCCTGCCTTATTTTTCTTCCTCACAATATTAACTTCTTCTTGCCTCTCTCTCTACTAGAATGTGAGTTTCCTGTGTATAGGGACTTTGTTTTTGTTCACTGTTCTCTTTCCAATACCTAGAATATACCTGGAACTTAGCAGGTGCTCAGTATCTGCTGAATGATCTTGCTGACCCCTCATCTTTCTATATTTTTTTCCTTCTTCCTTGTACTACCTAATCTACTCCCTAAACACACACACACACACACACACACACACACACACGTCCCATGCCCATCTTGCCCCACCACCATCCCCATTTCTCTAATGCCTAGCTCACATGTCTTCAACAGTTTGCCAGGCTAAAGTCCAAACTTCGCAGCCTGATTATAAACATCCTCCACAATCTGGAACCAGCCAACTTTTCTAGCCTTATCTCCCATTAAATCCCCAAACCAACCTTCCTTTCCCTTCCAGTCACGCTGCTTTACTTTGTTCCTATCTTTACTCATTCCTATCTTTGTTTCTCTGCCGGTCTGGGCGTCCTTCCTCCCTATACCTTTTCTCTAACAAACATCAAGTCACAGCCTTTTCTGAACAAAGAACTCCCTCCTCACACTAATCTACTCTCATCTTCACTGCATTCTTTAATCCTTTGAACTTTATTTACATGTTGTCTTATGCTAACAGACCCAACATACTCTGAATTTCTTGATTGTGGGATCTTGTACTTCTTTTCATTTCCCATCACTGTCTTATGCATGACCTTGAAAATATTCTAAATTGTCTCTGAAGCATACTTTATAGTCTACCATCAAAATGAATGACCAAAACTTTGGTTTAGTATAAAATTAGCTCATTAAATTTAGAACATAGGACAAGAACTTTAAAATGTTTCCCTTGGACTTACTGCATTCTGAGTATATCTCCTGAAAATCTCCTGCTGTCATAGAAAAGTTAGAACGAGGAGGAAGACTGTGGGGGTCAACATCAGGGAAAAAGATGGGTCGAATCTGATCAGCTGACCTCCGGTTATTGCTAAATTGATGGATCCAGGGATAAAGCTTATATTTATTAATTTCAGAACATCTGCAAAATATGAGCATAAAACTCAGTGTTAAGTATTTTACAAAGAAAAGTCTACTTTAAGCATTAATCAGGTTGAAGGTTTACTTATATATAATTTATTAATAATTAGTGTTTCTACTATACCCCATCCAAATTACCTGAAAATGCACATATACATGTAGATGAGTAACTAATCATGGGTTAAAAGAAAAAAAATAAAAATTTCAGAGATAAAAAGATGTTGTCCAATCAAATTTTTAAAAATTTACTTGTGAACTACAAACTCAAGTAAAAAACATCCAACTATTTTTTCAAAAAATGGTATGTATGCGTCGTTTGCTACTTATTTTAATTATTTTGTACAACCCTCAACTTTTTACCTTCACACCATCCCCTAAAACTCATACTGCCACCAAGAAAACATGTTTAAACCAGGCAGCTATTTATTTTTTCTCTAACAAACCTCTTCTGGCTTTTAAAGTAACTCTTTTTCACTACCTTCTAAAGAGGCCACGGGATCTTTAGAAGAAACTAAAGAAGTTCTGAGATCCTTCTAACTCAGACATGTCAGCATAGTTGGCCATTTTATAAGAATTCGGTTTAGGAATATAGTTATGATTGCTACACTGAACTGTTATTCCACTGAAGAATCAAAGGGGTAAAGTAGTACAATGAAGAAGACATAATACTCCTTCCTAGATCATACTCAGTCCTGAAAATCTGCACAGAAATTATGTGTTTCATAGAATGCCCTATTACTTTATGAAGAATCACTTACCCATCCTCTTTCAACATTCTGTTAACTAGGCAACTGATTAAAGTAATAACCTGTATAAACAATTTGATTTTAATATAAAAAATATCTGTGGTATGTATTATAATTAAACACTATTATCTTCAATTCTTCAAAAATAGGTAAATCAATCTGATTCTGAGAAATTACTATTTCCAGCAAAAAGTAAATTAAATACCTGTTGAGTACAAAGTTGGAAGAAAAGAGCATAAAAAAACTCCATTCATTTCCTTGACAAGCATAACCTAGCATAGCTATTTCCCAGGCCAGTCTTCCTAGTCCAGCACCAGGTACCAGAATATTTACTTTAGAAGGATCCCTGAAATGAAATAAGGCAATTATGTCCAACCCCTCAAAGAAAAGAAAAGGAAAAAAAAATAAGACAAAATCCACATTAACAACCAAAACTTATATATTCAATAAGAAAAAACTACCTCAAAACTGACTTCTAATATTAAGAAATACTTGTAAATATCAATAAAAAATAAGGGAGGACTTATCACATGTTCAGTTAGCAAGTGAAGGTTTTATCCCCAAAATAATATTTTTCAGAATACAAGGAGTTGCCTTGTATCTGAAGACTTACGAAGATACTCATAGCTGCTGTCACCTGAACAACACTATCATGGGAAGACAAATTTATCCCAGAGAGATCCCAGTACATACAAAGAGACTGAACAAAATTATTTTATCGTATGAGACAGTTAAACAAATCTATTTCTAAATTGTATCTAATACAATGGTTTATATGACTAAATAGGTTAAATACATCACTCTTAATGTGTTAGGTGTATCTTTAAACTCTTAAGTATGTCAGTTGGCGAAAGAATTTGGAGGGGGATAATCTCATGGGGAAAATGGGAAACTTCTAATTATGCATATACAATGGAAAATATGTCACACCAAACCAGGGCTCATGACCTATACTCCTCTTATCAGCATCACACTGTCATCACAAATGACCTTTGCTGCAAGACACACACCATTCCACTTTTCAAACACTAAAAAGCTTTAGCAAAGCAAGGGCCCATCTCAAGAATTCTGGTAAACCAATACAACCCTAAGGAAACTAAAATGGTATTCTTGTAGAAAACCAAAGGAAAATGTGTATCATCAGCTGTCATCTGTCACTGAAAAGAATTTTGCTATTGTTTGTTTCACCAAATTTAGTTCATAAATCAGATCCAATTTCCAAATCTACTCCCACATATAATTCTTTTTCTATCTTTATACTACATGGTCTTTAAATCTGGAGTACTTCAAATAGCAACAGGTCTTTTTACTAGCAGCCCATATGGTAACTTTTGCATTTCCCACTTTGAAATGAAAAAGAAACAAACAGAACTATGGGCTTTTGAAAATTACAATGTAGTCTACAAATAAAGTAACATGGGAATTTGCCCACTTTTATTCAGTCTTAAGTATCTATATATGGAACATATATTTGTATAAAAGTCTTTAAGTCTATTTAGTTTGTTTCAACACTGAATTAAATATATACAATAAAGCATAAGCCAAAACTTGTTAAAAGTATTTCTAACAAATAGGATTATGATTAGTAAGATATCCTTTAATACTTGATATGGACAAACTGATGCCAAGGTACCACATAAGAATTTTCATAAAGTAAAACAGAATGCTTTCTTCTCATTCCAGATTATATACAAGTTATGTTTGGTGTTTAAGTTTTTAATGAACAAAATGGGCATATCCTCTTTGTTCAGACTTACCTATATTATCTAATAAGAATGTACATATTTTTTATATTAGAATTTGAAATACTCCTACTAGCTATAGAATACTGTGCTACCCCTTGTAAAAGGACCTGTTACTAGGGCATCCCGTCCAGGCCTTACTCTCTCATTTTCAATTTCCTATCAAACCCACCAAAACCTTTACTCTCCCAGAATTACCTCTTTACTTTGCTGAGTTCCCATTTGCCTAATTAAAACATGCATTTTTTTCAAGAGGCTGTTCTCACCTTAAGATTTAAAACAAAACTAAAGCAATGCAACAAAATGTAAAGGATTGGGAAGTAAATTTGTATTTAAACCTTTACAAATTAATCACTAATAATTTCTGAATGGCTGATGACCTGAGTAAATAATTACCATGCACAAATTAGAAATTACGCTAACCTAAAGGAAAGTTGTGTTAATAATGGTACCAACAATTATTTTGTTAATTTGTGGGAAGTTAATTTTATAACTGCTATTATCAAAATCTCTCTAAACCGGCCCACAGAACTCTCTATCCCCACCTTGTGGCAGGAAGTTTCTGTATAAAACTACTAATTAAAAGGCTGTCATCAAGCCATGGAAGCCAGAACTGTATAAAAAGCCTTATCTTAGGAGTTAACAGAGATTATTATCTACAGATCTATCAGTTACTTTTATTATGACAAAAGGGATTTCAGTGAGCATATAAAAGGAAACACATTAAAACAAGCTGTCTAGAATTTTAAAAAATGAACAAGAATCAAGCAATGAATGAAAGAAGATTGAGATGTTTTTTCCCCTATATTTTTGTTCTTAGCTAGATTTTTCCCACTGGGTCTTTACTATTATAAGGGATATTAACAGTATCATGGGAAATCCCTTAATTATAATATGTATGAAATTAAGGCCCTGTAAAAGGCACTTTCTGCCATGTATCCACATATATATAGGGCATTTTTATGAAGGTATTTCTGTGAAGGGTAAGAAAAATATAAATCTAAGTATAGAACTTTATGGTGAGGTGACTTTAAACATGGCTAAAACTTTAAAAAGCAGAAACAGAGGCTCAGTAATCCAATGTTGCCTGATTGACAGTCATAGCAAAAATAAGCAAAGAAGTAGAGAAGCAGTACATTTTCTATAAATGTGATACCCTAACAACAGCAGGAATAGTTTCAACAATTTATCCAGACAAGTAAGAATGGAGAAGAGACACATCTGGAAGGCCAGAACACAGACCCCTGTTTGTCTCAAGAGGCCATGGATCACATTTGGACCACCCTTTTTTGTGTTCCAGCTGCTTTACCAGAAGTAAATATTGTGGAGAGAAGCTTCCTTTATAGTACACAGAATGATTTTTGCATTGCAGTTACAGATTAGCAAATTCAAACACAAAATACTTCTCTTTTGTCAACGTAACGACACTTAGCTGACCCCTGGTGGTTGTATGAACAACTTTCAAGCACCAAAAGTGTTTCTGTTTGAATCAGAGCAATTCACTGTCCAATACAGTGAAAGCCTCTTGTGGCTAATAAACATTTAAATGTGGCTAGTCCTGAGATGTGTTGCAAAGACTTGGTATAAAAAAGTAATGTAAAATAGCTCATCAATAATGCCACATACTGATAATATGCTGAAATAATAATTTAGATATACTGGATTATATTTTATTAGTAACTTCACCTGTTCCTATTTGTTTTGTGTGGCTATTAAAAAACTGAAAATGACATATGGCTTGCATTACATTCTATTGAACAGCGCTGCTCAATACAGAAAAATCATAAAAACAATTCTGAGCAAAACCAATTGTGAAATGACACCATAAACCATTACATGAACTTTTAGAACATACAGAACAATACAATGCATTGTTTAGGAATATATAAATGTAGTTATGTGGGAAGGTAAGATTAGAATTAAACTTAGGTTACCTCCTCTGGAAAGAGAAGAATGTGCTCTGTGTGGTTTGCAGGGCAGTTTCAACTGTATCTGTCATGTTTCTTTTAAAATTTGTTTAGTTTTTAAAAAGCTGAAATAAATATGGCAAAACTTCAAGGTTTAATAAAACCAGGTGTTCAAATATTTCTTATTCAAAGTAGAAAATGTGTAAAAGATCTGGATTAGTGCTAGCTCCTTCAAAATATGATCTCAATTTACTTCATCCACTCCCAATGAAGAACTCCTAATTATCAGCCAAACAATTTCTCACCAATTCCAGAAAATACTTTCTCACCTTAATCTTTAGAGCTCCTACACACCCACAGAAACTCAGCTGAAATTACCACCTAATCAATGAAGTCTCCCAAATATCCCAGGCAAATCTTGAACTTGTTTCTTGATGCTTCAGTACTTTACACTTCTGTTGTACTTTATGTACTAAGTTCTTCATCACTCTGCTTCTTTCTGATCCATTTAATAATACAGGGGTCAGCAACTATGACCCACAGGTCAATTATCTGTTTTTGTAAATACCATTTTATTGGAATACAGTCATGCCTATTCATTTATATACTGTTTATAGCTGCACTGCCACAACAACAGAGCTGAGTAGTCCCCAGAGTCCACACTGCTCAAAGCCTAAAATATTTACTAGCTGGAAGCTGGACATTTAAGTTTGTCATTCCCTGTCGAATGCATCTTGAACCTCTTTCTTCATCAGTACACAGAGCTTCCCTAATCCGTTCTATGACTAAGTATCCCACTGCATGATTATATACCATAATGTATCAAAATCTACTAACTAAGGACATTTAGACTGTTTCTAATCTTTTTTTATTATAATGTGAAAACTAATAGTGGTATAAATAGTTTTCCATGTACAAGAAGTCTGTATGTTGAATTGCAATAGTCAAAAGAAATGCATTTGAATTTTGTTAAATATTACTAAGTTGTCCTTCTTGGCAAGATTTTACTAATTTATTCTTTCATCAGCAACATATTCCTCACACTTTTAGTAAGTTATACAACTTTCAAATCTTTGCAATAGGTAAAAAATTGCATTAGTGTCATTTTAACATTTGTATTTTCTTATGAGATTGAGCATCTTGTATCTCTTTTTCTGTTAACTACAGTATTTTTCTACTGGGTTACTGGTCTTGAATTGTTTTTCCACTGAGTTATTACTGTAGATTTTTAAACACTTAAAATCCTTAATTTTAAGAGCTGAGATCTTGATTTGAAAGATATCTGAAATACATACTTGTCTGGTCTAAGAGGCTTTCAGGATGAGGGAGAAATCTATTTTCAGTTTGTAAATACTCAGAATATTCAGCAGTCTACATTTCCTCCATTTTCTCTTTTAAAATGGTTTCCTTTAGCTAAGAGAATCCTTTCACCAATTTAACTTATATTCTTTATTTTAACATAAGTGGAAAAATGCTCCTTTAAAGCTCAACATATTTCTTCCTAATGACCAAGTATAGAAAAGTATGTACAACTAGTCAATAGTATACTAGTATCTTCTCAGAGTAAAATGCAGAGACATAATAGATCTCCCACCCACCCACACAAACAAAATACCATTTCAGATTCTTCTAAAATAGAATGGGTTAATGAAATTAAGATATTAAAAAAAAAATACAGTCCAGAGATTTCAGGATTC